GTGTGTGAGCTGTATTGGGCTGGCTGCTTTGATTGACTTGGTGCATCTCATGTTCTATCCTACATGCTGTGATGATGATGATGATGCATCATGCCCCGCCCTCCCCTAGTGCTAGGGTTGCTTACCAATTTTTCCCTGTTCTTCCTGCCTGACTGTGGATGACCTGCTCTTCATCATCAACTTCATCTCTGTCTGTGAATCCAACCCTCCTGGATGATACTGCACAACTCTTCTTCTACTGACTGTGATTTGCTGCTGTGGCTGAATCCGGACATTACCATTGGATAATGCTGTACCCATGATGCTCTCCTGAACTCCTGCTCGTCCAATCTCGACTTTTTTTTACTGTTATATTTTTTTGTGCCTCATGCTGTGGGATGAACATGCTGGGTACATTCTGTGTTCGTACCTGTTCTGGTCTGATGGGCCTTCGGACTGCAAACCTTTTCCGACCTCTGCACTCCTTTCCTGGGATCACTGTGGCTCAGGTAGGCCTCTCTGCTGTCAGCATGAATGTGTTTGCAAACTGTCATGTTTAGTTTTCAAGTTTGTCACTAGTGACGACTAATGTAGCATCACACTGTGTTCCCAAAGTTCTTATCCTCTGGTGTGTGTGTGTGTGTGTGTGTGTGTGTGTGTGTGTGTGTGTGTGTGTGTGTGTGTGTGTGTGTGTGTGTGTGTGTGTGTGTGTGTGTGTGTGTGTGTGTGTGTGTGTGTGTGTGTCTGTGCGTGCATGCTGCAGATTGATGAAGAGGTAGCCAAACTGCTGGAGCTGAAAGCTCAGTTAGGAGGAGATGATGGCAAACATCAGTTTGTCCTGAAGACGGCAAAGGTGAGGCTCCTGTATTCACACACATGCATGTGATGCCCTCACCTCTTACCCTGTTTTCAATCACCTACAGGCTACACTGAGAAAAATGAAACAGTGGAAGAGGAAACAGTGAGGCTGTTTCTTATCCTCTAATCACTGAGCTGTGTGACTGTTCTGTTAGTGCTGTTTAGTTTTGATAAAACAAGAACTCATCCCTTTATTTAATCAATGCAAACATTTTCAACATTAAAAAGTGATTTTCAGAGACACAAACCAAATAAAGACTTTGTATGACTAAATCAGATGAATTAATATTCATACGAACATCTGATTATTCAGTATAAAAAATATATTTAAAAAAGAATCCCAGGAGTTACAGTCTGTGTTCTGTTACAGCAGGACCTTCCCTCAGATCAACACGAGCTGCCTGACCAGACACTCCACCACCTCGGTTCAGAATGTCTGCAGGGAAGATGCTGTGTAAACATGTTAGGCAGATCAGCCTGCTAGCGCTAGTGATAGCTTAGCAACCCTGGTTACATACAAGTCCTCACATTTTAATCTTCGGTTGACATAAAGAGGAGGTGACACTGCATCATTGATTTTTGTAGTAGAATAAATTCCTAAAACTCTCATTTCGATGTTCAACGTCAAATTCACTTTGTTTTAAAGAACTTTATGTAAAACTGAGTTGACAGACGGAAACACAGCACCTGTCTTTCTCTGTCAGGGAACCAGGGACTACAACCCCAAACAGATGGCCATCAGAGAGAAGGTGTTCAACACCATCATCAGGAGCTTCAAACGCCACGGAGCAGAGACCATAGACACGCCTGTGTTTGAGTTAAAGGTACGTTTTCAACACACCCGTGTTTGAGTTAAGAGAACATTTTCAGAGTCGTCAGGCTCATCATGTGTTAGCTGTTCATATAAAGTCCATCATCTTCCTGTTGGTGTGCAGGAGACGTTGACAGGGAAGTATGGAGAAGACTCCAAACTCATCTACGACCTTAAAGATCAAGGTGGAGAGCTGCTGTCCCTCAGATATGACCTCACTGTATCCTTCATGAGCCTAATTAACACCTTGTTTCACATAGACATAATTCTAGTAGACATTGTGTTATTTTGTCACATGCTAGTGGTTTATTGCTTTAAACTTTTTCTTGTACATTTTTTATGCACCCTCACCATTGTTACTGATGTTTTTTCTAGAATACACTATAGCGCCCCACACTAACCTCCTGTATCAGCCCATCTTCTCATGTTTGACCTACAGGAGCCACACTTCAATGTTTCTGTTCATCAGATTTGAGCTTCCTGTTCATAGTTATAAAATACTCGTGTGCTTTTAAACAAACTCTGTCTCACTGGACAACGGCACAGGAGTGGTACCACTGTACTATTCTGCAGCTGTTTTACTGAATTATTTTGACTCTTTCTGTTACCAACATGAAAGATGGCGACTGAAAATATCTGCAACATTGATAATTCTATTGTCTCATAAATGTCAGTGTGCTGCCTGCACGTTGTTGTCGTTTGTCTCAGCTGTGTTGTTGCTGCTTCTTAATTCTCAGTGAATTACAGATGCATTTAATCCATAAATCTGCTTCTGTCACTGATGGCACTGATGGAGAAACATCGTTAGAGTGAAGAAGCTTCTTATTCATGACAGTGCAACAGGTCAAACACATAAATCAACATCTGAACAAGAGATGTGGTGGAAGAACAGTTGTACTGCTACAGTGTCATCCTGTCACTGCATGCAGTTGTTGAATAAGAATTTTCATGAAAACAGGAATTAGTTCATTCATCGTTTGGTTTTTAATCTCTAATGAAAAATGTAATAATTTCATTGCAGTTCTCTTTATCAAAGTTTTAGGTTCATGTAGAATAAAAGGTCGTCAGTGAATACTTGTAATATAATAAATTAATATAAATGATCCCTGAGTTTCCTTCCTGAGCAGTGAGTGCTGTGTTGTCCTTGACCTGCCGTCTTTCAGGTGCCCTTCGCCCGTTACCTTGCAATGAACAAGATAACTAACATCAAGCGCTACCACATTGCTAAGGTCTATCGCCGTGACAACCCAGCTATGACTCGTGGACGCTACCGAGAGTTTTACCAATGTGTGAGTCATCGTCGCGTCTTTCTCTCCTGCAGGGACTGTGGGTCGAGTTACTCATGTGTTAGATCTTTAGGAATCTGACCGGGTTTAGTACACAACACAACACAGAGGGACACTACTACTGATCTACTTCAATTAATTAATGTGTGTGTGTGTGTGTGTCAGGATTTTGACATCGCAGGGCAGTATGACGCCATGATTCCAGACGCTGAATGTCTGAAGATCGTCCATGAGATCCTCAGTGAGCTGGACCTCGGAGACTTCCGTATCAAGGTAAGTCACATGACTTCAGGTGAATGTTCAGAAGAACAGAGTATGATCCTCACCTCTGTGACCTCCTCCTCCATCTGCAGGTCAACGACAGACGCATTCTCGACGGGATGTTTGCTGTGTGTGGAGTCCCAGATGACAAGTTCCGTACCATCTGTTCCACGGTTGATAAACTGGACAAGGTGTGGGGACTCATCCTGGGCTTTCAGTTCCAGGCTCAGTTCACCTCTTCATTTACAGGGACAGGTTTAGGTAGATCTGTAGATGGTACAACTGTTGGTATGAAGTCCAGATACTGGTTACTGTGATGTTGACCTTACTGTTGGTGTCTTCTATTTTATCAATGGTTGCTGTCTGGCTTTGACCCTCTTCCTCTTCCTCCTCCTGTAGATGGCCTGGGAGGACGTGAAGAAAGAGATGGTGAATGAGAAGGGCCTGTCAGAGGAGGCAGCTGACCAGATTGGGGAGTACGTCAGTATGCAGGGTGAGAGCTTCCTGTGATTCACACTAGATACAGATGTCAGTGGGATGTTGGTGCTTGTTTGAGCCACGCCAACTCCAGCCTCTAGTTACACTGTCATCAGAAGCAGCTGTTAGTGGTACTCTGAGCAGCTCAGACATCAGGCTGACCAAAGATATTTCATCTTTGGTCAGCCTGCTGTCCTATTTATCTGACAGCTACAGTTACTACTTACTGTGCTGATGGAAGATTTTACAAACAAAATGATCCGTTTATAAAACACAATACATAGCTACAAATTAAAATACACGACACTGTATACAGTAGACACAATGAACTCAGTGATCACTTTATTTGGTACAGTCTATTGTAATTCATTTCTGTTTATTATAGAGCTCAGGGTATCAGAATATTAGGAACATCTTGTGAATATAATTCAGTCCTGCACAGCACCACTATGAGCAATTATGTCATTAAGACCTCTGTGTCAACAACAACTGAACATTATATTATCATAACAGATCAGGTGTATTTGCTTTAATTGTACATGTAAGGGAAAAATCCAGTCACTTATTCAGCTCCTTTCAAACATTCAGTGGTTCAGACTTTGTGGGCAGCTAGTTAATGAAGAGTTAGCAGATGAAGCTAATGGACATAGTGGAGCAGTTTGCAGATGAAGATATTTCCCTGAGGAGTTGGCAGAAACCAAAAACAAGAGTGAGTTGATCAGGTGTTCACAAACACAACTCCACCTGCTGGATGTGTTAATACACACCTGTGTGTGTTGTAGGTGGGATGGACTTGGCAGAGCGGCTACTTCAGGATCAGAAGATGTCTCAGAGTAAACAGGCCTGTGCTGGTCTCTCTGACATCAAGCTGCTCTTCAGCTACCTGCAGCTCTTCCAGGTCACAGACAAGGTGAGTGATGGTATCACACCATAATACCTTCAACTTTTCCCATGTTTTCTCCTCCTCTCTTTACCCTGGTTCTGGTACCTGATTGTTTCACTCTGGCACTTTTTTTATTGTCCTGTGATGCTGTGTTGTCTCCAGGTGGTGTTTGACCTCAGTCTGGCTCGTGGTCTGGACTATTACACAGGAATCATTTATGAGGCAGTGCTGACTCAGGCAGGTGTGGCCCCGGTCTCCACTGAAACCCCACAGGGGGCTCCTGCAGAGGAGAGTGTCAGCGTGGGCAGCGTGGCTGGAGGGGGGCGCTACGACGGCCTGGTGGGCATGTTTGACCCTAAAGGCAGGAAAGTGCCATGTGTGGGCGTCAGCATCGGCATCGAGAGGGTCTTCTCCATCATGGAGCAGAAAGCTGAGGTGATGTCATCATCATCTTCGTTTCTCTGACCGGTTGAATTGTGTTTGCCTCAGGTGTTTAAGTGGTGTATTGATAATAAGCGTGAGTCAGACTGTGACATTGTTGTGTTGTTCAGGCTTCAGCAGAGAAGGTCCGGACCACAGAGGTTCAGGTGATGGTGGCATCGGCTCAGAAGAACCTGCTGGAGGAGAGACTCAAACTGGTCACTGAGCTCTGGAAGGCTGGCATTAAGGTGTGTGAGTGTTTTCTATGATCTGTACTAACTTTGTGCAGCCTGACAGGTTTTATGTTTCTTCCTTTTCTGGTTTTGTCTTTTAACCTCTGGCTGCTCTCGCCGGCCAAGTCTTGGTCCTGGTTCACACAGATTAAAGTTATGAACACAACCTGACTGTTGTAGTCCATCCACCTCAAAGTTGGATGTGTTGTTCACTCTGAAGCTTTTCTGCCACATAACATTAATAAAACACCCTCACCTACCTCAGGTCACCACAACACTTTAGAGAATGATGCTCTTCATTTTTATATGTTGACACCAGAACATTGTTACAGACAAATAACTTTAGTTTAAACGAGTGAGTTCAGAATGAATTACACAGGGGTTAGATAATATAGTGTAAAGCAGTGGTTCTCAAAGTGTAGTTCGGGGAGCTGGAGATATGCAGCAAAAATGTATTATTATTATTATATCATATTTTCACTATAATTTCACCCATAAGTAACACAATGACAGAGTGTATGAAGATTTGGTAATGGGTTTAAACACTTTCTGAAATAAAACATCTAAAACATCATCTCTGGTCGCATTTGTGTCAGTTTATGGTCTTTGATGTGAAAAAGTTTTGAGAACCACTGAGGTGTTAAGTTTCAAAAAAGTTGATTCTGATTCAAAGTTAGCTCTAGCATTAAGTAGCTTATAGCCAGCCAATTAGCTTCCTGTGTGTAGCAGCACAACATTAGCTTGATGTTTCCATGGTGAAAAATGGTAAGAGCTGATGATCCAGGTTTTAGAAGCAAACAGCTACACTAACTGTAAATATACAGCTGTGGCCCTCAGTGTAGCCTCAGTACACTCCATACATCTTTATGGCCTCAACAGCAGGATAAAGCATTGCTGAGGCAGAGAACACAGCTGTGTAAACAATATAATACTACACCTAAGAAATAATATATGTGATGATTGCAATCACATTATGATAATCACACTTTCACTATTTTAAATGCGATGCGTTATATGGATATTCGTATCAATATTGATGGACCAATTGATCATCCTTACATGTGATGTTTCCCCTTTCGAGTGTAGAGTTTTGTTGCAGAGTGAGTTGACAGCCATATTTATTAAGACTGTGTGTGTGTGTGTGTGCGTGTGCGTGTGTGTGTCCAGGCAGAGGTGATGTACAAGAAGAACCCCAAACTGCTGAGTCAGCTGCAGCATTGTGAGGAGTCAGGGATCCCCCTGGTGGCCATACTGGGAGAACAGGAGCTGAAAGATGGAGTGGTTAAACTACGAGTGGTGTCCACTAGAGAGGAGGTACACACACAGTGACACACACAGAAAATGTGTTCTCAGACACTGACACACTGGTGGCCCATGAAACTCTGCATTGGTGTGACTCAGTTCCCTCCATGACTGATGATGATCCAGCCCTGGACATTGGTTTAAAAAGTCTACTTCACTGAACAAATCTGTAGTGTAACTGACAGTGGTGTGTGCAGCTGTTGCTTCATGTGAGTTGTGTTAATGCACCAGTGTGACTGAGATTTTTCTCTACAGGTGTAACGCTGCCTCTAATACCTGATGTTTTATTGGAACATTGTTGTAAATGAGTGATCAGGATTATTTTCTCAATTATTGGTCCAGAGAATCTGTTCTACCATGACAGATCAATACTGTCATTTACAATGACATTTTAAACCTGATCACCCCTCCGACACCTAGTGTGGTTCTATAGAGGACTGTGACAGTACACTGGATATATACATATATGAAACATAACAGCTGGAGGTACACTGAGTTATACATGTGAGAACGTGGTTACATGACTGACCTCACTGCCTCTTCTTCATGTTCTCTCTCCTTAGTTTGACATCTGCAGAGCTGGTCTTCTGGATGAGATCAGGAGGAGGACCTCTGAGGCCTAGCTCTTCCTGTATCTAACCCCACCTCTATCACCTGATTGGTTCAAACACAAACGCTCTGCAGAATCTTACTCTAAAGTGCTTATCTCATCCTCTGTAGAGCATGTTGGAGCCCTGAAAACACATCAGTCTCATTTTCACACAGACAGCAGGTGGAGCTGTGACAGAGCAGTGGAGCTGACTTCAGGTTTATAACATGATGTTCTTGTTAAAGGGAGTAGCCATTAGAGAACATCCAGGGAATATGGTGTCATTTATATTTAATATGTTTGAATTCTGTGTCTGAGAGATGAGTACAGATCAATGATGTAAATCAAACTCCTCACGTCCAATCAGTGTCCCAGACTCCATAAAGCTGCTGCAGTTCATTTGGTCTTCATCACATGAATGATAAAAACACAGCGTTCCTGCAGGTGCTTTACCTGCTCAGGTGAGAACCTGTTAGAGACATTTACTCTGAACCATCAGACTCAACTAAAGGCTCATAACTTCATCAAACAGCTTCTTCTCTCCAGTGTCTGAAATAAACCTGTACATGTCATCATGGTGCCCAGATTCATGTGTTCACTGTGATATGAACTTGTTAGCTTGCTTAGTGTTACAGGTTTGTCTGGTGTCTATCTGACTACTGACTCTACTACTACTCCTCCAGTCGATCCATCCTGACATTTAGATTTATGTTTTCAGAGATGGTGTTAACAACCAGGTCAAATGGGATTGATTTTGTTTCTTTGAAGTAAATATGTTGCACTGATACTTTCAGGTGATTATTTTATTATTTAAAGTCCAAACCAGATCATTGAAAACAAAATGGACGACACCAGTCAAACTCTGAGAATCAAAGGGAATCTGATTTTCTTAAATGGCCTAATCCAGATTTTGTCACATTCATTAAACATATCTATTGTTAACTAACCTGACCACACTACCTCCACACACACAGACCTGACTGATGGAGCAATGAGACGGTCCCCTTCTTGCAGGTCTGCCGTGTTTAACTTAAAGGATAGGTGACATGACTAAATATGTCAGATTTTTTTGCTGGCGACAATCGGAGCTGGAGATATGTTTTCAGGTTGTTCGTCAGTCTCATTCTCATGAACCCGGTATCTGAGTAACACCTTGACAAAACTTGTTCAAATTTGGCACAAACATTCACTTGGACTCAAGGACGAGCTGATTAAATTTTGGTGGTCAAAGGTCAAGGGTCAGTCCGACCTCACAAACACTTTTTAGTCATAACTCAAGACTTCACAGCAATTATGACAAAATTTCACAAAAATGGTTCATATTTACTGTGACTCTGGATAAACAGGGATGTAACCTGAAACTAGTCTGAGTGGAGGAGGCAAACAACCACCAGGAGGTGATTCTAGTTTTTACATTGTGTTGGATATTTTAATGAATGCACAGAGTTTATTGTGCATAAAGACGCCTCAGAGGAGCCGGGTTCTCTCTGATGAATTAAGCCTCTATAACTTTATTATATTGTAGTGCAACTAATGGAAACTAAAACTTGGTATGAATCAACACCTATCACAACCGAAGCAACATCACTGCAGGATTCACTGTGAAGCAGGACTATTGAACTGGGTTTGTTTGTAGCCCAGTCTTCCTAACAAATTGGTAGAAATGGTGATTTGTAGTAAATTACATTGGGCTGGTGAACTGGGACAGAGGATCAGTATTGATGTATGCAGTCTATTCCCACCTTTATATTGTTTTTAATTGTCATTTATGGCAACATCAACCCACTCTAATGGTGGAAGTGGGTAAGCCAGCTCAATACCCTGTCTGGAGATAAGTTTGTTCTTGCAGCCAGACTCATGACACAATGTTCATAATTTCTCATTTAATTAAAATGAGGAACCAATAAACAGTAACACAAAACGCATGCATAAAACAAACCACAGAAGATCAAATCAGACAAACAAGTCTACTGCAACTACATTAAAACATGCAGAAATCAACCACATTTAAGATCAAACCTTTTTTAGATATTACATCATTAATCAAACAAACTGTCTGAAACAGTGCTGCAGGATGAGGCCTGTTATTTCCTGAGCTCATCAGTGGGAGAGCTGGTTACCGTGAACCCTCTGCAGGACCTGCTGGGCTGCAGCCTGCCGAGCTTCCTCCAGCGTACTGGTGGGAGTGGGTCCCGGCAAGATCATGACCAGGCCTTTGAATGGCACAGTTATCCCAGGGATACACACTTTGTAGATAAAGTAGAGGTATCCATCTGGCCCAGCATGGCTGCAGTACATCTCATACAGTGGCTGGCCGACCCCAGTCGCCTCACACACCTTCTGCAGGAGCATCACTGGGGCTGCTGCAGAAACTAGATGTCCCCCCTCAGAGGAGAAGGTGGAGGAGCAGGGGGAGTGTCGGGATACAGCGGGTCCTCCCACTGCTCTGCAGAAACCTGGAGGGATGGATGGATGGCGGGCCAGACGAGGGGGCAGGACTGAGGGCGGAGGAGAACTCAGGATGTGGTGCAGCGGCCTCAGGGGTGAAGCCAGGAGGCTCATTGAAGATTTCTGTGGAGGCAGCGGCTCGTCAGAGCTCGAGTTCACTGATGACTGCCACTTGATTGAGACGGTCAGCGCAAACTGCTTCTTGAATGCTGGATGTGGAGAGAAAAGGAAGTGCAGCAGTAAGGACCACAGTTACAGATCCTCCCTGACATGAAGCTTTACGTTAGCTTGACACCTTTTTCAATGTACTAAACCTTTTAGTCTTTGTCAATCTAATGAGAAACAGTTTGGGGAAGGAACCCTTGTGTTGGTTAAATAATGACTGATGTTTTCAAAATTTGCGCAGTTTTTCTTTTTGTGATTAGTTGAGTTGAGAAACTTTATCTACAGTCAGGTCCATAAGTATTTTGACAGTGACACATTTTTTTTTTTTTTTAATTTTGTGTCTACACCACCACAATAGATTTGAAATGAAGCAGTCAAGAGTTGATTTAAGTTTAGTCTTCCAGCTTTAATTCAGTGTGAAAACACTGCTCAATTGTGTCTTCCGAGGTCTTCCAGGCCCTTTGGTGTTGGTGAGCTTGCCTGTGCATTCCTGCTCATTAAGAATATACCAAATTCTTGATTTGGGCACTTGGGTTTGTTTTGGTTTTTCAGCCTAATGATGGCCTCCCTCACTTGTAGTGAAACCTCTTTGGACCGCATGCTGTTCCAGTTCCAGGAGCCAACTACTAAATGCAATTTCAACATTTGTAATGAACTCCAGACCTTTTATCTGTTTCATTTGTCATGGCATAATGAGGGAACACAACACACCTGGTCATAGAACTGCTTGTCAGTCAACCTTGAATAAAAGCAGAAATCAACTCTTGACTGCTTCATTTCAATTTATTATAGTGGTGTAAAGAGACAAAATTTTTAAAAATGTGTCACTGCCCAAACACTTATGGACCTGGCTGTATTTTTTGAAATGCTATCTACAAATTAATAATTTTTCAAATGAATTCAGCATTAAATGTAATGCATTGGATGATTTATTTCTCTATGTAAAACAAACAAAAAAACATTTATTCTCAAATTGCTGTTTTAAAACATGATTGTTTGCCCTCCTGCTACACATGTAGTTGTCTCGTAGTGTCTGTTGTCGGTTGGTTGTCATGTTGCTGTACCACCTCTTTTCAGTCAAGACTCTACAGGAAGTGTATTACATTGTTGGACTACAACTACCATTATACCATAGATGGAAATTCCAAAAAAAGGAAAAATTAAACAATAGTGGTATGTGTTTGGGCACTAAGTCAGTTAAACGTGGTGCAAATATTCTGCTTTGAAAAAGGGCAAAAAGGAAACACTGCACAGAGGGAAGAATGGACTCAAATTAATAGCAGGTTCTGGACATAAATGACCTCCAGTCAGTCCAGAAAAAGGCTGGATTCTACAACAGGACTATGATTCAAAGAGGACCTCAAAATCCACCATGAACACAAGAAACACAAGCTGAAGCTTTTGGAACAACCCCCACAGCTCCCTCTGTGTTATGCCCACTGACGTTTTCTTGTTCTGAAATAATTGATAAATCAGAACTTTTAAGATAGGATTAAGAATGACAACATCTCCTTTCTGTACGATCCATGAATAAATGCTCCACAACAGTGTAGATGAGACTGAAGTAGCTGTGTCCACTTCCACAAATGACAGTCTGAAACTGACTGATTCTTTGATCACTGTGAAAATTTCCTTGCTCTATTAAAACTGACTATAGAAGAGGTTGACGACATAATTGGGACCATATTTAAAGCAACACATTGACCCCGTGTATCAGTCCATCATCAGGAGGAGCTCACCTACCTTCCACCAGCATCTTCTTGGCCATAGAAGCAGTGTGGTGGGATAAGAAGGCGACTATAGCTGACACCCCCTCTATACCAGCCCCCGCCTTCAGAGACACTCTCTCCACCCCCTCTGCCAGCACACGCAGCACCTGGAGACAAAGATTAGTCACAGAGAGATGTTTACAAAGCAGTAGAAGGGCAGGAGTAGGACCGCTGTCATTTTCAGCTGTGAGGCTGAAAAATGAGACATCAATATTAAATATAAACTTTTAGACATTTCTGTTTTAAGTTCCCTTTGACACCATTGCCCATAAGCTTTAGACCAGCGGTGTGGAGTGAGGACCTGTAATATACTGTAAGTCAGTGGTTATTTTGTGCAGGTTGACCAGCCTCTCCTGTCTACACGTGTTCCCAGAGAAATTTCCATCCTTTTGAGGCTTTTGAGCAGGTCTGCTGACGTGCTGGTGGCTGGTATCCTGTACATAAACCAGAGCAGCTTATAGACCTCAGAGAGTCCTGTAGGTCATTCTCACTAAGATGCTGTGCTCTACCAGCTCTCCTGGTGCCCTGTGAAATATATTGTTGTTGTACTGTACTTGCAGTTCGTTCCTCAACTTCTGCTCATCAAAGAATGGATTTGTTTTCATCAGCCACTGACTGCTGGGAAATGATGCAAACGATGTGATGCTGTGGTGCTCCAAATCTGCAAACCTTTGGGTCATGTGCAGTACCACGCTGTCAACAAGCTGGAGGTAAAGACGTCACAAAGACACAGCAGTTTCCTCGTCTCCCTCTGGTTGCTGGTTAACCTCCTGCTCATCATGAAGGCCTCTGAACATCTCATCTCTTTTTGTGGCTTTGAAAGCGCTGAGTGCGCTATTGACATTACTGTCACTTTTTGATGTCCCCTATCTTACTTTGCAGAACTTAGAAGAGTGGTTCATTAGGCTGACTGAAAGACACCAAGCAGGAAGGTAAAGTTAAAATCTTCTTGCTTTCATGATGCACTTTGTGCAGTGGTTTGTCCCCTGTCATGATCTTATTGAAAGCAATGAAGAGCGACCTGCATCCTTCATGGATGGATTCACACAGTGATGCCTATCTCTTACATGAACAGGAAAAATATTGATAATGACATCAAGACTGGCAAAAAACTGTTTGGCTGCTTGAATGTTATTTGTGCCTTGTACTAAAACCATTTACATTTATTCATCTGTCAGATGCTTTTATCCAAAATGACTTACAGTGAGGGACATCACTAAAGCTTCAGTGCAGTAGGAGACATTGGTGTAAGGACTAAACACTACATCTATTTAATAAATGAAGGAGATCAGGTAAAGAAGTGCAGGACTGCTGCATTCTGGACCATCTGTAAGGTATTCACTGTGTGAAGGGAGGTCCACCAGAAGAGCACTGCAGTAGTCCAGGTGAGAGATAACCATGGTTTGGACCAAGAGCTGGGTAGAGTACTGAGTCAGGTAAGACCAGATTTTTCTGATGTTGTACAGAGCAAAGAGACACGACCAGGAGACGGATACAACATGGTCAGAGAAGGAGAGCTGGTCATCAAACATGAGACCAGGTTTCTCTAAACCTTGGTTGAGCACAGAGATGAAGAGCTGATTTTGATATAGATATGATGATAGGAAAGATTGATTGGCTGGGATGACTAAGAGTTTCTCAGTCTCAGAGAAAGGACATGATCTGCACAGAGACAGTGGGGTCATCTGGTGGGAACGACAGGTATAATGACAGGTATAGATGGCGTCGTCTGCATAGCAGTGATATGAGAAGCCATGTGAGTGGATAATTGGACCCAAGGAGGTGGTGTATATTACAAAAAGGAGGGGTCCCAGTACCGATCCTTGGGGCACTCCTGCTGGTCTCCCACTGGACCAAAGCTTTAGTGGTGTCCCTCACTTACAAATCTCTTTGGATAAAAGTGACCAGTAAATGTGAGAGTAAATGTGAATGTGAATGATGTCTGAATGCACCGTGAGTCTATCTTTGTGAAACTGATCTCAGCCAGATCATTATAACCTTCATGAGGGGAAAAGTTATTGCAGGACAGTTGCATTAGAAATGATTAGTTTTAGCTGCTGAGTGTGTTTTCCTGTCATGCTATCACAAAGACGAGCTATAGTGCTACCATACCTGCAGTAGGTCCTCTTGCCTAGTGGTAGCTGGCAGGTCTTCGATACAGAGGTGTCTCTTCTCTGTGCTGCGGTGGACACTGAGGCGGAAGCCAGGCTCCAGCATGTGGCCGTGCAGCAGGCGGATCGCGTCAGCAGCGACACCTGACGAGCTGTATTTGGCGTATGCGAAGCCGCGGTTCTGCCCACTGAAGTTCATCATGAGCCTGAACTCCCAGAGCGGGCCCACGGAGCTGAACAGGGGGATCAGCAGGTCTTCGTAGGCGTCCCGTGGGATCTGGCTAATGAAGACCTCACAGCGGGCTCCTGGGGTGGGACCGTCCCACACTGACAGTGGAATAGACAGGAGATGCCACCTGATCATTTGATCTATCAATCACATGGGTTCATCAGCTCAAGTAAGAAATGAAACTATTTTACTTGCTACGTTGTCAGCTAACATCTCTAATAAAGAATAAGGCAGAAGGTATTTGATCTTACATTCTTGGCATCAATCTAACAATCATCATCTTTGTAGCCACTGCCTGACAGAGCATTTAGTATGTGCCATAGACTTCAGTATCAAAACATAGTGTGGCATTCTTCATTTACTTGGCTCCATTTTTCTGAACACAAAATGCTATACTCTTAATTTTGACTTCAAAATCTCACACTTAGGGGTGGAGACCTGGTATTAAACGGGCCCAGGGCTAAATCTTTTAAAACCATAGAATTGATAAGTTCTGATGTTATCAGTTCTGCTCTCTGCACTGGAGAAATTAAGAAAATAGTTAAGCCTCACACACGCTGGAGCACTGTGCAGCACACAAACACACAGACACTGCTCTTAGTGATGACGGCAGAGAGAACTGATCACTCAAAAGTGTGGGTCAGTGTTTTGCATGTAATGGTGAAAGCATGAGAAATTTGTTGAACATTAGTCACATACAGGTGGAGAAATGCTCTGTTTTCCACTGGAGAGGGGGTGGGGATTTAATGATCAGGGGTCTGCCGGAAAGTGATAAGGTTAGTGACCAAAGACACATGCAGCTTTTCACAGTTCATTCAGTGTAATAACACTATACAGGAGTGGTTCCCAACCAGTGGGCTGGGGGCCTTTGGTGTCCTGTGGATGTATTCCATGTGGGCTGAGAAATCATTTGCAAAACAGAAAAGAAGAAAAGAAAGAGATAAGAAAAGAAGTGCAGGTAAAGATTGCCGTAGGGCTGCAACTAACAATTATTTGAATAATCGATTAATTGGTTGATTATTTTTCGATTAATTGATGAATCAGATAAAGAAAAATGTGTTTTTTAATTCCATCCCTTTATTCAAAAATAGAACATTCTTTCAAATTGACAACAGTGCAGAGAAAGTGCAGACACAACAGGTTGTTGCTCGAACGTCCCTGAGCTGTTCAACTAATAAATTATAAATAATAACTAAAAAAAATAAATAAAACACAAACTGACAAGCTTTGCTACATCAAGTAACTTTAACAACAGGCCATGGACTAACACTACACTGCTTGGACTACACGCACTAAAAATGTTGCTAGACAAACTGAAACTTTTACCATCTGAGCGCTCCCACTGTCGTTAGCTAGCTAACGTTAGTTTAATGAACGTCTCGTGCTTGTCAAGATGGATCACGAGGAAACACCACCATGAGACAAACTACCAGAGAGACTAACGTTACGTTTCCTCATTTCAAAACGGAACGTGGGATTTTATTGTGACTTACCCTGCTGTAAGGCTCCCTTCCTCCTCCTCTGCTCCACCTCAGCCATGCTCACTCAACTGTTTACATGTAATGTAAACAGCTCTGTGAGACAGCAATAATTGTGTGACACAACGAATCGATAATGAAATTTGTTGCCAACACTTTCAATAATCGATTTTATCGATTTGTTGTTGCGGCTCTAGTTAGCAATAAGAGCTACTTAGACATGTTAGGGTGTTAGGTGTTAGGAGAGGTGCTCCTCTCTGAAGAGATGAGTCTTAGCATTACTGACTGAAGTTGATTGAAGGGAGGTTCACCAGAAGAGCACTGCAGTAGTCCAGGGGAGAGATAACCATGGTCTGGACCAAGCGCTGGGTGGAGAGCTGAGTCAGCTAACCTGATTTTTCTGATGTTGTACAGAGCAAAGAGACACGACCAGGAGACGGATACAACATGGTCAGAGAAGAAGAGCTGGTCATCAAACATGACACCAGGTTTCCCTAGACCTTGGCTGGGGTCAGAGATGAAGAGGTGATTTTATACTGATATCATGATGGAAAGATTGTTGGCCGGGACAACTAACAGTTCAGTCTTAGAGAAGTTTAGTTGAAGGTGGTGTTCCTTCATCCATGTGGATGTGTCAGAGAGACAAGACTAGATCTGCTCAGAGACAGTGGGGTTGTCTGGTGATAATAACAGGTTTAGTTTGGTGTCGTCTGCATAGGAGTGATATGAGAAGTCATGCAGGAGGATAACTGGACCCAAGGAGGTAGAGTATATTACAAAGAGGAGGGGTCCCAGTACTGAAGGGGATGGGATATGGAGGTTTGTTCTTGCCTTGAGACACTGAAGGAGACCAGTGAGATAGGATTCAAACCAAGAAAGGTCTTTACTGAGATGTCAGAGAGAACAGACAGCAGCATGAAGTGGTTCACTATCAAAACCTGCTGAGAGGTCCAGTAAGATCAGAACTGAGGACTGACCTGCAGCTCTTAGGACTTCTGTCACAGACAACAGAGCTGTTTCAGTGGAGTGGCTGCTCTTAAAGTCTGACTGACCTGGATCAAGGAGGTCATTCTGTGAGAGGAATTCTGAGACCTGACTCATTCTATACACTTAGATAAGAATGGAAGCAGTGAGACAGGTCTATAGTTCTCCACTTAAGCAGGGTCCAGTGAGGGTCTTTTGATCAGAGGAGTTACCCAAACCAGTTTGAAAGCAGTTGAAAATTCCTGAAGCCAGTGACGCATTGAACACGTGTGAATGCTGGTACAACTGTGGGAGATATTGGAGTTTTGTGGGAATGGGGTTCAGTGCACATGTAGTAGGACGGCTGTTGATGAGGAGTTGGGACACATCGTTCTCAGTGAGAGGGCTAAATGAGAGAAATCATGAGTCCTTTACTTGTGGATACCTGGATGAACAACCAGATGATAGACTGGAGCCCTGCACTCAGCTAGAGGGCTGAGTGAGGTACTCAACAGATGAGGCAGAGAGGGACATGACAGCGATGTGGAGAGTGTCCTTAACACTAGGACCGCCAACATTCGAACACCCCCTTTAAGCGCCGCGAGGTCCGCCAGACCACTATACGTATTTTCATTGATTGTGTGTTTTAACCTTGCAGGTGTACGGGGATATAGGAAACAACTTACTGTCACATAGTCAGGTAATCAGTCATTATTTAGTGTAAGCTACCTGTTCAACAGTTAAACACGAGATAATTACTAGGAAAAGGAGATAAAAATGATTCAAGGATCACAGAGAATGGCTGCGGGGAATACTGCTGCTGCGTGTTTCGCGAATTTGCCGCACAATACTAAAATATATTAAGCCTACACTTAAAACTTGTAACTTACTTCATTGCAGGTAGGCTATATGTATTTTAATAAACACACGCTCAATAAAAGAGACAAACTCAGAAACAATGGGGGATAGTAATAATAATAATATTTTAATATAACAACAACAACAACAACAATATATATAAATAATACAATTATTCACAATGTAATACAATACAATATCAGGCTATATAATAACAATGGTAATAATAATAAGAACAATAATAATAATAATAATAATAATAATATTAATTAATTTTCCAACCCGCTTGTCCTCGGTTGCGGGGGCTGAAGCCAATGTTACTGGGAAAGAGGTGTTATATTAATATTGATAATATTGATTATTTATTTTATGCGTCAAATAAACAAACGTATAAACAGACATAGAAACAACAAACCAGGAATACCCTAAACAAAAATAAGTCTAAAAACAATAACTAGGCTATCTATACTAAATACTATAACTATATCTAGGGCAGTGGCACACAGTTGGAGCAAAAGCTCTCCACCCTTACTGTGCACTTCCCACACACAGGTCGCTCGCATCCTTGACAGCACACCTTTGTTTTGTTCTGCCGGCAGTGGCTGTTGATCTGACACTGCCTTCTTTGGTGACTCTGTTGCGGTTCTGTGGGTAGACCTGCTGGACCAGACATGGCGCAAACGTGTTCCGCTCGCAGTTCTTTTGCCAACTGCAAGATAAATGCTCGTCTGGCGATGCTGATGGACATGCACTTTTGGAATAAGATGTGGGCGTTTATTGCAGCCATGTCCAGGAGATTGAAGAACACGGCTACTGGCCATCTTCGTGTTGCCCCTTTCACTGAATAGAGCCGTGCCATTTGGTCGAGCACGTCAACCCCGACCTATAATGATAGAAATTAGTGCAAGCAAGCAAATATGTTTGTAATAACAGTAGCCTACTATAACAACAGCAATTGTCACAGCCTACATGCAATGCAGCCCAAAGTGCTTCACAATATCAACATAATGACATCACAGCAATAATTTATTTAAAAACAAATCATGAATAATTATTCCTATGATAAAACCCATCACATATACCTTTGTGGTGTTATAATAGGTGACTGTCTCCGGCTTTTTTTTCTGATCACTCCCGATGGACACACACTGGTGCATGGAGCTGAGGAGTGCGACGCTCTTTCGAGGTTTCCCTTGATAAATAGTCAGAGTGGTACGTTCATGCCTCAGGACCTTGGTGGAATACAGCTCCTCTCTGCTGCTGGACTGAAGGAGGAAGTTCCCTTCTGGCCTTGTTCACTGTGCCAACCAGGCTGGTGTTCCTCTTCAGCAGGTTCTTGGCGAGGGTGAGGGACGTGAAAAAGTTGTCGGTGGTGATATTTCTTCCCTTCCCAGCCTCATCACAACATTTTCGCCCACCCTTTGTTCTGCTGGCCTCGTATCATCTCTGCCGAGGTATGGGAAGGCATTTAGCATGTACTTAGTTTCCAGCTGCAGCTAACCAAAATTTTATTCCAAATTTATCTGGCTTGTTTGCCATGTATTGAGTGAAGCGGCACCGTGCTTTTGTTGGGAACAGCTGCTCATCGACTGTGATGTTAGCCCCAGGTTTATAACACGCAAGACAGTTGCTTACAAATCTCCCCCACACCTCTGACATCAAAGCAAACTTGTCACTGGAGAGACGGGCACGCCTGCTCTCCTTCTTGTCAAAGCGCAGGTGGCGCATTATATCTCTCCCTGCACGGGTACCGGCTCCTTGGCATCCGTGGAGTTGAAGAAGGGCCAACCCCCATTCCTCGGACCAAAAGCTCTCCATTCAATATTCTTATTGTACACTCTAACAAAAAGAAGAGCGAGGAATGCCTTCAGCTCGCTCACCAGAGAGATTCCACTAGACAGTTCTCTTCACACGATGAGCCTCTGCCACAGTGCAGACTCAAAATATATATTCTAACGTTTGCCTGTCAAGCAAGCGACAAAAACGTGCTCTGGAAGCCATCTATAATTGCGCTAGCAAACGCGTGTCAGACCTGTGCGGACGAGGTTGGATGCAACTCAGATTGTTCCTCTTTCCCCAGCTCACATGGGCTCGGACTGCCAAAACATTAAATTAGGAAAAATGTGTGTAGAAGAGTGTACATAATTATTCCACCGTGCTGCCTAACTAGCGTTATAAAATGGCGTACTTACTTTGTAAGAAAATATTTTCGTTTTCAAATAATATATTTTCGTTGCCTGAGATATAGATATAATAAACATAGTGATGTACTATTTAACGTTTGCTGTTTTGGTGCACAGCAGAGTAAGCACTCGCATCTGGAGATGTTGAGCCCTCTTCTGGTGTCAGTACATGCCGGTGTGGCACTGTGAGATTTTCCAACATTGTGATTTATTTAATTATTTATTTATGTATTTATTATATGCAATTTCACATGAAATGAAAACAGCCATAAGTGTTTTACAATAACCATCCTACCTGGAGATGAGTGTGCAGCGCTGGCCAAGACCAGGTGAAGCTTGTGTTACTGGACTGGGTGGTTGCATGTTGAGATATATTAGGTTATCATTATAATCCTTTAAAAAAAAAAAATGTGATGATAATGTTAGATGTTTCTCACTGTTTACAGCCTATACTATTTACAAAATCAGTATCTAGTTTGTAACCAATTAGTCAATAACCTAAAATGTAGGCTAGCCTTTTGTCTGCCAGGCCCGGAAAGCTTGGCACAGAGCCAAGCTTTCCCGGGCTTGGTGTCAGCTCCATAAAACAAATAAATTAATAAAATTAATGAAAAAAAATAGATAATTGATAATAATGATAACGATAACAACAATGACAATAATAGGTAATAATAACCTGGAGTGGATACAGATGGGGCAGCTGGCACAAATTTATGTTTTGACGCGGGGGTCGGAGCTCTCCTCCTCCTCACTGCAATCCAGGTCGCTGAGGTCCATCTCTCCACCATCAGAGTCCTCCTCGCTCAGTTGATGTATCATCATCAAAGCCTCATCAGCGGTGTATCTTTGGCGTTTTCTTCCTCTCTCCATTTTCAGATCTTTGTTTTATAGGCTAGCTAGCTCTTTTACTGAATTATAGAATAAATAACGAACATAAATAACAAAGCTTCTTCTTCTCTCTCTCTCCTTGGATAGGTTTTTTGTCAAATGTAGCTAAATAATAGACCCGCGAATTATAAAACGCAAAAACAAATGTATTTTACTTAGTTTATAGAATAAATAACAATGATAAATCACAAAGCTTCTTCTTCTCTCTCTCTCCCCAGGATATGTTTCTTGTCAAATGTAGCTAAATAATAGACCCGCGAATCATAAAGCGCAAAACAAACCCCGCAAAATGTAACAAGTCAGCTGCGGTACTTGTGACCGCAGGGCGGAGAGAGGTATAAATGCTCAGAAATCCTGTGTCTTTTATTGTACCATCTTATGGGCTTCAGGAAATATTAAAAACACATATTTAGGAAAAGTCATGGGCTGAAAGGCTTGTAGCTTTTATTTAAACTGAGTTATTTACATTTTAACAACCCAAACAGTCTGTCAGACCGTCTCCGTGGTTCTAGTGTTAACCAGGGGAGACTAGTTGTCTCTGAGAGGTTCAGAGAATAGGCAGCTGATGTCCGCCACCTTTTCAGTGAAGGAGGAGGCAAACAGGTTTGTGTCTGGTGGGAGTGGTGAAGGATCGAGTAAAGTTGTGAAGGTGGAAAATAGTTTCAGAGTGTCTTTACTGTTCCTCGTCCAGAGTATTTTCTGTTGCTAATCAACTTCAGAGGAGACAATCTGCTTCCTGTTTACACCAGCACGCATATGCCTGGTGTATGAATGGTCATGTGATATGTTTTCAGGTGTGTTAGTATGGAAGGAGATTATTTGTGATCAAAAGCTAAAACACTCATTTGGATGGAGATTGTTTCATTCTAAGATGAAATGAATTAGTGTGGACGTAGCCTGCATCAATACGCAGACCTACAGTGAATCAAGATTTTGCCCATTTGACAACAATAGAAAAAAAACATGTGGTGGTCAATGTTGATTTTGTGGCAAGCTGCCATGATAAACACTGCATCTAGTGCTGAGGTTGGTTTGTCTGCTCTGGGCTACTGTAGAAACATGGTGGTACAACACAGAGAGCCTGCCATGTTATTATGAGGACCTGCTCCCTGTGTATATAAGAAGAACTTATTCCAACATAACAGAAACAAAACGACTGATTATACACTATTGAAAACATAATGATTAACATTACATCCCATGTCTGCTGATAGATCCCTCTGAATCCTACACACTGGTCCTTTGATATAAAGTAGTATGAATAACATCTAATGAAATTCATCTTCAGTCACAGTCCAGATTTCTGTATCTCCTAGTTTCTCCAAGCAGCTAGCTTCACTGTGATCCTGTGTAAGGATGTGATCCTCTCTTACCCTCAGGTGGTCCTCCATATCTTCTCTGCCCATTCACTTGAGTCAGTTTTGTATTAGTTGTTTTCAGCCACGTCTCCAGCGCCTGCACACGCTCAAGGTTCAGCACCTGATGGGAAAACAGAGTGGGATCAATTCATCAGTGACAGCAGCTCTAATAATCATAATCAGTAAATATATACTTCACACACACACACACACACACACACACACACACACACACACACACACACACACACACACACACCTCAGTAGATTACATTGACAACAGCTGGGTTACATATACGTATTATTATTATTATTAGACGTCACAGTGGTTTTTTGTCATTGTTAGATTGACTTTAAATTATGATTTTTCCAGGTCTTCAAGGCGATCTGATCTTCTAACTCTCACTGATGGACCTTGAACAAAAATCCCTGTACACTGGAGTGACGTGCACTAGGGTTGGTAGGAAGTCAATGGCAGACTTCATCCACAGTGAAACTGGTGAAAAGATTTCCTGTGTCTCTCCCAGTTCACACAGGTGGTCTTTAACACTTAATGCAGAGCACTGCATTTATTAAGCACTGTAGTCCTATAACATTTACTCTTGTAAAATTTACTCCTATAACATTTACTCCTGTAACATGTACTCCTATAACATTGACTCCTGTAACATTTACTCCTGTAACATTTACTCCTATAACATTTACTCCTGTAACATTTACTCCTGTAACATGTACTCCTATAATATTTATTCCTGTAACGACTCCTATAACATTGACTCCTATAACATGTACTCCTGTAACATTTACTCCTGTAAAATTTACTCCTATAACATTTACTCCTGTAACATTTAATCCTGTAACATTTATTCCTATAACATGTTGTCCTCTAACATTCACTCCTATAACATGTACTCCTGTAACATTTTCTCCTGTAACATGTACTTTTATAACATTTACTCCTGTAACATGTACTCCTATAACATTTATTCCTGTAACATTTACTCCTGTACATCAAATCGATGCAGCATAACTAGAGATATCATGTTTTTCATTCCACACATTCTTCTAAGTTAAAATTTGTTGCCTAGATCACCCACAATGCAACTTGACCACCTACAGTCCAGTCAGGATTAGGGTGTTTTATCGTAGAGCTTGGTACTGTCGTAGGTCTGGGAGGCTCACTTCTTTCTTTCACCTCCAGTTTTTTAGGTTTCAGAATTCAGTCTGATCTGACGATGACTCAAGTGACATCACCTGAGGACATTTATCTGACTTCTCACAGCTCCCTCTGGAGACACTAAAGGCCTTGTACAGGCACAACTTTATAAGAGCTGCATGCAAGACAGCAACTAATCATTTATCAATGTGGTGATTATTTTCTCTCTTACTTGTTTGATCTTTTAAAACATTAGAAAACTGTGAAAGATCCTTTACAATATAGAGCACAAGGTGATATCATCACATGTCATGTAATGAAAATCCTCAGAAATATTCAAATAAATAAAAATCAATTATCAAAACAGATGTAGATCAATTTTATTTTGGTGACTTAACAGTTAAAATCAAAAAAATCTATCAAAAAATCTCTGCAGCAGCAATTGCAACATTACCATTTTTGCATTAGATTGTATCAACATTTTTCTTCTCACACAGTGACCAATGATGTCTTGTTATTTCCTCAGATTATTATCTTTCAAAAATCAAAGTCATTCCTCAAACATCATTAGAGTTGAATTGGTACTGATATGAGTCTCAAAAGTACCTCTGATCCTGATACCATGTCATTTAATAATAAATTAATAAACCATTGTTTCACACCAGGAAATCAATTCTTCTCCACTCTAAAACTGTAACCCACATGGGAAGTTTCAATGTGCAGCCACTGACAGAACAGGTTTTGGGTAAATAGTGTAACATTAGCAAAATGTCAGCAATTTGGCAGTCAGATTAGCTAATAAAGAGATTATATTCAATTCATGTATCTCTTCATGTTTTACAAAAAGTGTAACCTGAGGCACACAACACTGACAGTGATCATATCACATCCACACAGGGTCAGTACAGCTGTTAAAATCATTAAAATGATTTTAAATGCAGAGGTATCAGCTGCTAAACACGTTCAGGTATCAGAATCAGATCATTTCCACGTCACATCATCAGTACTGAGGCATTCAGTCACTATTGTTCAGTTTTACATTTGCAACGATCACCTGACCAAGAACTACCTAGTTAACAAAGCACCATATACAGTCAAATGTGGTGTTGTTATTGTGTTTTACACTAACTTCACTACAGTATAAAATAAACTGATTTTAAATGTTCTGGACTGTAAACCAGTAAAATCAACATCCTTTCAAAACTATTGATGATGCAGATGATTCTGTAAACACTGCAACATGGTCAATTCAACAGAACCAGTAAATTGTGTTAGTCCACCGTCAGGAACATGTAAACTGCCTAAAGGTGGGAAACGTTTATCTAAAACCCTCAGGTGTCTGTTGGTCCTGGTCAGGTGTGTTCACTTTCAAACCCCGGGAGCGGGAGTTTTATTAACTTAATGAGCAGCAGGTGAGGCTCAACCAAACCTGACACCGGAAAAGAAGAACTTTTGAAAAGCAACAGACAGCACGAGGACACAGTGTGTTTATAAACAGCTCTAGAAGCGCGATACAAACTATTCACTTAGTCAAGTCCAAGCTCGGACCAGGTTTTACTATCTCTAACCGGACCAGGTTTTACTATGTCTAACCGGACCAGGTTTTACTATGTCTAACCGGACCTGGTTTTACTATGTCTAATCGGACCACGTCCTGTTAACTAATAAACGACCAGTTTATCAGAGGACCAGGGTCCAACATGGAAACGTTACCTGGCTCTTCTTGTTCTCCATCAGCTCCACCATCACTATGCTCCGCGGACACTGACGCCACTCTGTTGCCCACTGGCTGGAGAAGGCGTGGCTGCACCTGGATCCCTCCCATTATTGGACAGCAAGGTCCGCTCGATACCGCCCACCTTCCACCGTCCAGTCAGTACCGTGGGCTCTGAGCCTGCCCACATACTGATTATTGATTACTGATTTGATCAGTTGAAATCTGTGCGACCTGAACCTACCTTACCTTAATCTGCTAACATACCACAATTTACATAACCTTACAAACTTTAGTGTCTAAAATATCATAGAAATTGTATTGAAATTAAATAGGACGGAAACCAACATGACAGGAGAGAGCGTTTTTAATCCTCTACACACTGAGCAGCAGGGACTTGAAATGTAGCAGGATAAACTTAATAAATGTTTTTTCACATATATACAAAGGCCCACAAAGATTTCATAAAGAAAATGTTGACTGAATAAAAACATTTGCTTTTGAAAGATGTCACAGTAACTTCCATAGGCTGACCCATCTGTTAGGTACATACATGCTAAATGAACAGGGGTTAGAAGATGTGGGCTGTGGAGGAGAGAGGCACCTTGTTTAGCTGATATGTACTATGTAATATTTTTACATTTGTGAGTTTCTTTGGTCACTTGGGTCGGTTCCGCAGCTATCTTGCTGATGATTTGCAAGGCACTCTGGGAAATATTTCATAACACTCCGTTTGAAGTGTGCACCTGAAAAATCTTCATTTGAAGGGCCAATTAGCCCTTACACTTCACCCTACCCCGCTATCTCAACAAGAATCGGGACACCCTACGCCTAAGCGTGAATGCGCAAAACGGAGGGGTAGGGCTAAGTGGTAGGGGCAAGAGGTGAAATGGGATTGAGTCTAAGTTTGAGAAGCTTGGCCCTCTTCAGACCTGGTCAGACCTGGTATTAACATCCATCTCAGGTGATCCAATCAGGTGTGAATGCACCCAAGACACATTGAGGACACATTTGAGATCCGATCACTCAGACCACATTCAGAGGTGGTCTGGACCACATGTGAGCAAGTTTTTTAAGCAGTGTGAACGGGAATATATGTCCTGGGCCACATGGAAGGACCAGCTACTCTGCTGACATACTCTGTGTGTGCGAGGTGGCTGACATTGCTGAGCTGTTGTGGAGAAACACCTGTGTGTATCTCTCTACATAGAGGTTGCAGGTTACTGGATGTTTGATTTCTCTTCATTATAAATTATTTTCTTATTTATTCAGAAAATGTCACAAAAATGTCTCTGTCTCCACATACACCTGCTAAAATGGGTAAAAAAATATACTTAGATTTTTTTCATGTCTGTGTCACATTCAGAGTCAGCTGAGACAGCTGAGACAATAGTGGAAGGTATCAGTTTTATGTAATGTTGCTGCCATGTCAATATGACATCAGCCTGTTTGTTCCTGCTGGGACACGTGTGCATCACGAGTGAAAAATAGGCAAGAGGGCAAATTTGAAACCAGCTTTTATCTAAGAACAAGGTCCTGTTCTTCAAATGAGGCTCACTAATTCAGGCTAACATGTTATTATCAGGCTAAATTAATTCTGTTTATTGTCCTCCCATAAGCCACAGATCAAAGCCCATAGTCATGATTTTGTTAACTGACATCTAGTGGTCATGTGAGACAGTATCAGTCTTTTCAGCAAACACCCCAGAATAACGTTCACAGCCTCTACTGACTGTGGTAATTCTGATGGGAGCAAAGGAGGATATCAAGTGATGTTATACAACAAACACAGGTGAAGGTCAGAGTGGATGGAGGGGTCGACAAAGCATTAGACCTTATCATGGGAAGCCAGTTTATTTCCTGTTTCAAATAATCATTGTTGTTGATTATGGTAACCGTGACGACAGAGGTTGTCTGACCTTAACAAAGAACTCATTTTAACCCACACCATGATCTTTCCCTAAACCTAACCAGATTGTTTAAGTTCCTAAACCCAACAACACTTTACCATAACACTGTCATATCATGAAAGGTTATTTATTTCCAATAGAGAATTTAAGTTTTATCTGTGGCTCCTGCCATCAGGAGGAAAAGCTCCCATGTGTTTTTTGTGTGTGTGTGTGTGTGTGTGTGTGTGTGTGTATATATATACACATATACACACACACACACATATATACATACATACACATACATATACACACACACTGGAGGAAATTATTATTTGATCCACTGCTGATTTTGTAAGTTTACACCCTTACAAAGACATGAACAGTCCATAATTTTTATAGGTTTATTTTAAACAGAGAGAGACAGAATATCAACAAAAAAAAAAAAAAAACAGAAAAAACACATTTAATAAAAGGTTATGAATTAATTTGTGTTTGATTGAGTGAAATAAAGTATTTGATCCTCAAGCAAAACATGACTTAGTACTTGGTGGAGAAACCCTTGTTAGCAAGCACAGAGGTCAGATGTTCCTTGTAGTTGGTCACCAGGTTTGCGCACATCTCAGGAGGGATTTTGGTCCACTCCTCTCTCCAAATCCTGAAGGTTTGGAGGCTGTCGCTTAGCAACTCGAAGTTTCAGCTTCCTCCACAGATTTTCTATGGGATTAAGGTCCGGAGACTGGCTAGGCCACGCCAGGATCTTAATGTGCTTCTTCTTGAGCCACTCCTTTGTTGCCTTGGCTGTATGTTTTGGGTTATTGTCATGCTGGAAGACCCACCCACAACCCATCTTCAGTCTTCTGGCTGAGGCCAGGAGGTTCTCATCCAAGATTCCACAGTACATGGCCCCGTTCATCGGCCCTTCAGTGCAGTGAAGTCTTCCTGTACCCTTAGCAGAGAAACGGCCTCAAAGCAGAATGTTTCCACCTCCATGTTTGACAGTGGGGATGGTGTTCTTGGGGTCTTATTCAGCATTTTTCTGCCTCCAAACATTGCGAGTCGAGTTGATAACAAAGAGCTCAATATGGTCTCATCTGACCATATCACATTCTCCCAATCCTTCTCTGAATCATTCAGGTGTTCATTGGCAATCTTCAGACGGGCCTGTACATGTGCCTTCTTGAGCAGGGGGACCTTGTGGGTACTGCAGGATCTCAATCCATTACGGCGAAGTGTGTTACCAATGGTTTTCTGGGTGACTGTGGTCCCAGCTCCCTTGAGATCATTAACAAGCTCCTCCAATGTAATTCTGGGCTGATCCCTCACCTGATGCTGATGCTCTTGAAGCCCATTCCAGCCTTGTGCAGGTCTACAATCTTGTCCCTGACGTCCTTTGACAGCTCTTTGGTCTTGCCCATGGTGGTGGAGAGGTTTGAATGGAAGAGATTGATTCTGTGACAGGTGTCTTTTATACACAAAACGAGTTGAGATTAGGAGTACTTTCTTAAAGGGACAGGACTAATTTGACTGCCTCATGGGCACATAACCAGTCTGTGGGGGTCAGAATTCTTGCTGTTTGGTAGGGGATCAAATACTTATTTCACTCGATCAAATACAAATTAATTTATAACCTTTATTTAATGTTTTTTTTTCTGGATTTTTTGTTGATATTCTGTCTCTCTCTGTTACAATAAATCTAGTATAAAAATTATGGACTGTTCATGTCTTTGTAAGGGGGTAAATTTACAAAATCAGCAGGGGATCAAATAATTATTTCCTCCACTGTATATGTATACACACACACACACACACACACACACACACACACACACACACACACACACACACACACACACACACACACATATGAATATATGTAAAATATAAATGTTGTATAGTGTAAATGCATAGTGTAAATGTTGTAAAATATAAATGTTGTATAGTGTAAATGTTGCACCTTTACTAATTTATTTGACTTTATTCATATAGTGGCTTTCATGCAAAATTACAAAGTGCATGAAAAAAAAGACACCTGAGGGTTTGCAGCACACAAACAAACATTTCATTTCCAACAGCCGTAAACTGTGACTTTAAATAATGACATGTAATGTGTGTATGGTTCCACAAGGTGTCAGTGTTGGATCATGTCTGAATTCCCTGCAGAGGGAAACTGCTGAGGGACGGGAGAAAACACTTCATTAAAGTATAATGACATATATGAAATTAGAGTATGAGACTACCTGAAACAACAAGTGTAAACACTTCAGGTCACCAAGTGTCTATCTGCAACAAAGACAAAGACATTTTAAAAACTTTTCCCAAATCTAACATCTGCCTTTAATTTGACTGTATAAATAAAAAAAAAAAAATTGAATAATAAAACACGTGCATCATTAAAAACTGGTATGAATGTAAGTTATATATACATATAATATATATATGTTGTATAATGTAAGTAATATATTACTAAATTCATTCTTTGCTCAGTCCATGTTGGTTGTAGTCGATATTTTCATTAATAGTCATCACAAGTCAAGTGGAATTTATATAGCTTATATATAGAGAGAAAACTACATACAGAGGATTCAGACACTTTACTCAGGACTTAGTTGAAGTAACTTTGTCAGTGATTACAGCCTCCAGTCTTCTTGGGTCTGATGTCTCTTTACACATGTGGATTTGAGGATTTTCTGTCACTCTTCTCTGCAGGTCCTCTTAGGATCTGTCAGGTTGACGGGGACGACGGTGGACAGACATGTTCTGGTCTGTCCAGATGTTGGAATGGGTTCAGGTCAGGACTCAGTCACAGAGTTGTCTCTAAGCCACTCCTGTGTTGTCTTGACTGTGTGAACCTTCAGCCCAGTCTGAGGTCCTGAGCTCTGGACCAGGTTTTCATTAAGGTCCTCTCTGTACTTCGCTCCTGGATCAGTCTCCCTGTCCCCCCACAGCCTGTTGCTGCTCCACCATGCGTCACTCTTGGGATGATGTTTATCAGGTGATAAGCTGTGCCTGGTTTCCTCTAGACCTGACTCTTAGACCTGAGACCAAACAGTTCAGTCCTGGTCTCATCAGACCAGAGAATCTGGTTTCTCTCAGTCTCAGAGTCCTTTCACTGCTTTTTGGCTGGACAGCAACACCGGGGC